CCCTCCGTCACAGCAGCATCATCATTCGCACTCCCACTCACACTCAAGCAGTGGAAGTTCTAGGCCTGTGTTGGCGATTGACACGGGTAGTAGCAGTGCTTCTACTCCCAGACATGGTCCTGACCTTACGGTCTCTGCGTCAACTTCTTCCCGTGGCGCGTCCTCGCGCGGTGGGCAGCACATCCCGCCTGTCTCTGATGCCGCTTCGTCTGGTCGTGCGTCCACTAAAAAGGAAACACCCGACGGGCCCGGGGAGAAGGAGAAGAGCAGGCCCAAAAAGATCACCGTCGCGTGCAACTTTTGTCGGTCACGAAAGCTGAAATGTGATGGTGTTAGGCCGGCATGTGTACAGTGTCTGAAAAGGAGCAACCCATGCGACTACCAAACACAGGGGAGGAGAAGAGGCGCGAAAGGGAAGAGAGATAAAGGTGGCGCCGCGGGTGAGAAGGACAAGGATTTCAATAAGGAGAAGGCCGGGAAGGATGGCAAGTCGACTAATGGTAATGGATCGGCGGCTGGCTCTGCCCGAGATTCTCGAAGGAGTAAAGCCAGTGGGAGTCGCGAAGACAGTGAAGATTTTGAAGGCGACGGCGACGAAGGTAGTGGTACCGGGAGCCAAGACGCGGAAGCGGAGGATGATGAGGACGAGGATATTGATATGAATGAGCTGCGGCCAAGTTCAAGGTCGTCGGTGATTGGGAGAAGTCGGCACGGGTCCGTCAATGAGTACCCGCCGGCACACTTGTCTCATCCTCCCTCATCGTATAGGCCCCCTTCCTCTGCCTACGCTCAGGCGCATACGACTCTCCCGTCGATCTCGGCAGATTTTCCTCCCCCACCCACACACGGTAGAAGTAGGGGTGCAAGCATATCTAGTCTCACTGGACCTTTAGATCGGGAACGAGATCCGAGAGACAGAGGAGGATACGAGCTACCGCACATCGCCACCTTGAGTTTGCCGGATCCGACTGCAAGGCATCACCAGTCGTCCAGACGCTCTCCCCAACGAGTTCCCCATGGTCCGCCGCCTGGACATCACTCTAGGTCTTCCTCGTCTCATCACTTGCCGCCTCCTGGAGGTCATCTTCCGCCGCCCCACCCTCAACTTACACGCTCACCCCCACACCATCTGCCACCGCCTCCTCACTTGCCTTCACCTCACCACCATTTGTCTGCGTCAAGTGGGCCTCCGTCTCACGTCTCACCCCATCCTTCAAGCTCGTCGGGAAGTGCGAGTGCTCATCTCTCGCCTCACCATCATCACAGATTACCTTCGCCTCATATCCCGCCTCAACAGCAACAGGCGACGTCTAGGAAACGCGCGGCTACAGCGCCCTCAAAGAGTGGTGGCCCTGTAGGGGCTGCAGGGTACCATCCAAACGTCCCAGGACCTCCAAGGGCAAGCGAGGTGTCTAGGGGCAGAAGTTCAACTACCAGTGCGGGTAACCCTCTCCCCGAAGCAGGAGGTGGGCCACCAGTCGAATCATTGGGTGTAGGCGGCTCAGCTGTCAACGTGGGAACCATCGGGAGTGTTACAGCCGGTATGATACGAGCGACAGGGAGGTTACCCAGTACGAGCGGACCCAAAATTGTGGCGTGTAACTTCTGTAGAGGTGAGTTTTGGATTCGGACTCTTTCAGAAACTCCAAGAGCTGATTTTTGGTCTACTTGCAGCTCGGAAGACAAAATGCGACGGAGCACATCCTAGCTGCGGATCTTGTGCGAGGAGGAGTTTGCCTTGCAATTATGTACATGAGAGGGGTGGGAGACGGGGTGGTGCGGCTGCGGCTGCGGGTAGTGCTGGTCCTGGTTCCTCTGCTCAGGCCAGCACGGGGGCAGTCACGGGAAGCGATAGGAAGCCGCCGAGTTCATCTGGGAGAGGTAGCAAAAGGTTGTCGGATCACGAATTGGAGGATCCAGGGGCCGGTGGGAGAAAGAGGATGAGAGTGAGTGAGTAAATTTTGAAGATCTGCGAAGGACTTTCTTCGGTGGACGACTCTGAAAAACGATTCTTCATAAAGTAGAAGAGAATACGACAGGCAGTCGTTTCGTTTAGATTTTGGTTTTGGTTTGGCTTTCCCCTGTCCTCTCCCTCCTTCTCGATACCCGCGTCATGTGTTTTTATGCTTTCTATCCTTTCCTTACTTTTATCTCTCTTGGGCTTTTTTTCGAATCTTGGATGTAGAATTGGCAACATTTGTTTACTACTGTGTCGTATTTATATGCTAGGCTTTTCTGTCCATCCATTCACACACCTTCCCGCCTACCTTTCTACAAAGCTGGTCTCGATTTGTCTTTCTTTCCGAGCTGGGAATCGTCTTCTCGACCTTATCTATTTTAACTTATGTCTATACAAATGTTCTATGTACTTGTACTTACAGCTTTTCGCCCAACCTTCGCTGTCTCGTTAGTTATACATGATACCACTCTCCTTCTCTTCCTTTCCACCTCCCCTCCTCCATCTACAACTTTGAATACAACTTGAATGCACCCGACAAAGCTACGTCGCGTCTCTGTGGCTGAGGATTTTCTTTGGAACGTTCTGATACGCGTCAGTTTCCCTTCTCCCGGAACGGACCTGTACCTACCTAAGTACTAGTATGTCCCTGTGTCTATACATACAGGGCAAGTTCCGTGAATTCGTTCTTTTGTCAGTTCCATGTGGGACGAGCCAAAGCCGGGTGAGTGGCTCTGCGTCTGAAACGAGACTTGACCTCGCCCAACCTGGTCCTCCATAGCGATACGAAGCTGCCCAATAGGCGTTGGTGAGAGCACTATTGGGGATCTCGGAGCACTCCGTCACCGTCCGGGAAAATCATTCTCTCGGGGTTCTTTGAAACACTCTGAGATATGGAAACGACCACTAAACTTGATGGAGACATCGACGCGGCGGGAGGCCTCGAGTTGCCTTGAGGCGTCAGGTGGAATCGCGTATGTAAGTTGCATACAGCTATGACATACGTCGCGGGAGAAAAACAGCAGTGTGCTCCAAATCGACGAATCACCGCAGAGGTAGGAATGATGAATCTTTCTCTGGCAGAAAGGGCAGACGTTTGGACTTTCCTCATGTGTTAGTTCCGGGGACTTGGCGAGAGGGCACTGTGGGACGAGAAGATTGATCCACCGCGTCTCCGTAAACGGGGGTGCTTTCTTCTCGTCCTTTAGGACGTCGATGTTTGAACGGCTTCGAGAACTAAGGCCCACACTATTCATCGGGTTAAGAGCCAGGTAGATACGAGCTACGTACGAGCCGCACCGTCTCGAGTTGCCATCAGACGACGTCCGACACGGCGGGTTACACTCGACTCACCTGTATGGGCAGGTGCGGCACAAGTCCTATAGGACGGGAAAAGGATCAACAGCTGGTCTATGTATTGGTGAGTACTGTTGCCGGACGCCCAGTTGCCAACTCATGCCAGAGGATGTGAAACAAGCAACAAGACGGAATTTCGTCGGGAGTAGGTAGGTTCTTGGATGCCCATTGCCACCGGAGTTTGCCGAGCGGTGAGGTTGAATTAACGGAGATAGACTCTTTCTATTGCGGTATCTGTTCCGAGTCGAAACAGATGAGCTCGTGAGCGCAATGAAGACTATTCAGTCATCCTTAGTCACTCTTTATGAAGTGGGGTGGGGCCACAGGGGATCCCGCTAGGGCGCGGGAGAGCTACCTTTCGTAGCATTCGACGTAGAACTAGGGGTCCAAGCGGTCAATACTAGAACAGACACAATGCGGTCGAAATGATTCCATGTGTCGAAATGAAGGTGGCGTCGTGATGTAGCCTACAGGATATTGATATCTTTCAGGCCTTCTGGGTTGCGACGATCAAACATTGGTGCATTCGTGTGAAGTAGATCTGCGTCTAGAACCTATAGATCGTTCGAAACTGTGCCCGTTAATAACATGTAGGTCAGCGGTGTGGCTAACAATGTAACCTGAGGCGTATTATCGACAACATCCAGCCTACCCGACCTTAGCTTGCACTAAGGTATCAAGCACCGGGTGCACGATACTTCATCCCCACCAAGCCTTCGATCCCTTCATCTCCCTTCAAGATAGCTTCTTGAATCGCCTGTACGACAAATCCTACCACGGCTGTTTCGCACCACCAAAAAATCGTGGTATACGTTGTGCGTAAGAATACGCATATTGCTGGAACCACCAACGCAAGTGTGTACGTGTGCACGAACGACAGTGGTAGGGATAACGGGAATGGAAAGTGTGAAGCATGCTGGTGGGTGAGGAAATGGAGCCTTGTCTGCTGCAGCGGGACGAGGAACGGCAGAGAACGCGGGTTGAGGAGGAGAAAAAGGTTGAGGTGAAGAAAGAGGTTGAGTAGGGTAAATAATCGAGGAAGAGGGACCCCTGGGTCAGTCCTGGGATCTCCATCAGGTTTTGTGAACGAAAGAGGGTCATTCGAGGGATTGATCAGATATATTAGATGCCTGCAACTCGGTCAGTACCACCCTAGAGCACAACGTTCCCAACTCACAATAGCCCAGAGAGTGACAGAATCCCGACAGCACCGAGCTCATACCACTTATTCGACTGGTTGTTCTCCTCTCGTAGCTTCTCTATGAGTTCATCTTGTTCTAAAACCAGGTGACGCGGGTGTTTGAGTCAAGTGAGTTGTGAACCTGTTTGAGACTCACCTCACGACACACCTTGCTCGTCGAGAACTACATCCTCATTCTCATCTTCGGCTGCTGAGGCAAACTTGAAAGGTACACGTCGGCGAATGTCCATGGCAAGTGTTTGACCTTGGAATTGGTGGGTTGGTGGTGGCGGTCAAGGGCTGAGCCGTAAGCCTGGCCAAACGCGTCACTGAGCTGCGCGCGCAGCGACACCAGGGTCGCCTCTTTTCGATACGCCACAAAAGGCATGACAATTGACAAACAATTGACGTGGGTCGCAGTCAAGTCGAGAGTAAGTAGGTAGCTAGGCAGATACACAGCCATCAGTCGGAAGCAGCAAAAAATATCCCAGTTTTTTCGATCCCAATTGCATTAAGAGGGAATCGAACCCCCGGCGGGTCGAGAAGACTTTCTCAATGGCAACGACCCAGGTTACCACTACCCCATTAATGCGCTGAAAACAAACCATGATTTAGCCTATTTACCCAGATCACGCTTTATGGCAGTAAAATCCTAGAGGTAACTACTCTCCATCCAACTGCCAAACAAAGACCTCCTTGCCAATCTTCAGATGCACCCTTCTGACGTCAAAAGTACCGACACGGTTGGTGGAAAAAGCACCCTTATACTTCTCGTTCAATACAGCTATAGTAGATTCGGGGAGTTGAGGGATACGCGGAAACTCTACCAGTATCGACTCGATCGTGATGGGAAGGTCAACTTGCTCGTCGATTGACGTGGCATGCTCTGACAACCCTGGAGACGTAGAACGCAATGACTGAGTTGAACGACTGGATGGAGGAGATTCGAGTAATGCCCAAGCAATTGACGCGTGAAACCTGGGCTCGTCGTAGTACACTTTCTGGCGGAAGGACTGGAGGGATGATGTTAGGCGTTCTGTCAAAGATTTGAGCTGATGAAAAGTCAGGTATCTCTGTCGTCAAAATGAGAAGTTGTGGCCAACGCACCTCTGGAAACCCTCCGCCAATATCCAATGCTACGAATGTTCTGGTGTTCTCGTCGTTGGTCAACCTTGAGAAGGAGCTGAATGACGCTTTGAATCTAGGAGATAGGTAAGCCCAGACGCAAGCAACAGCCACGACTACGGAGAACGCACGGTGGGCTTGACTGAGCGAGGCGTCTTACAGATCGCTTCACTTCTTCCCTCTGATATGCGCGAACGAACAACGGCCTCGATAACGATATATGTAATTCAATTGTTTTGTGATCTCCGTCAAAGTTATCGAGACCCGGCACGAGTTGCAAAGCAGGACATGACTCCTTCGCCGTCTTGAGGACGTTCTGGAGAAGCTGGTGTAGTGGAGATCTGGGTTCAACTATCACTGATATGTAGACGTGAACTGCCCATTGACCTTCTACATGAGGTGTGGAGCGAATGCGTCCTTGATGGAGAGAGGGGTCGTCTTTTGGTACAGGAACGATTACAGAGGATTGTAGAGGAGGAAGTTTTCTACGCCGTTAGACGTCAACGAATGTGAATGAAAGAATAAGTATATTGCTCACCTCTTCTTCTTCACTTGGACCGGCTCTTCAGCAACAGTTTCCTCTTCGCTTGAGCTGCCATAGTCGACAAGGGTGCTGGATCTCTTCATGTAACCCTCATGCAGAGTTGAGGTGAGGGCAGGAGAGTGAGAGGTGTGGCGGCAAACACCGAACACCTTGCTCTATACAAGAAACGGTCACGTGTGTAACACGCTGTTTCCTCGAACGCGACGTTCACCATCGACGCACCTGCGTGCTACTGTTCCTCGAGCCGTTTATTTACGCTTGGCTCTTCCTCGGAGGCCAGGAAGCTTGGTGGAAATCACTCTCTTCAAACCCAAGGCATCCACCCACTGGAGCGTCATGTGGACGAAATCTTATCTACTGATAACCTACCGTCCACAAGACTCGAGATAACGCTCTTAGCCCCAGTCTCTATCGCCTTTCTTCTGCCATCATGAACGTACCATTCATCGACAAAACTTCCTCGGGAAACTCCCCTCCTGCTTCGCACTCCCATTCGCATAGTGAAGGAGGCCATTCGCACGAACACGGAGACCATGGACATACCCATGAACACTACACCGATGCTGGTAAGCATTCTATGAATGGCTCACTCCGCAACTCTTACTGATCTAGCCTAAGGCAAATATTCCGACAGAGATATGCCCGATTTCTCTGCAAGAAACTTTACTGAAAGAGGTTTCACGATCGGGATCGGAGGGTACGCATATACCTACAGATTCAGAAGACCTTGCTCATAGAGCACACGATGGACCTCAGACCAGTTGGATCAGGAAAGACTGCTTTGACTCTCGCACTTTGCCAGAAGCTGAGGAAAGAGTACAACATCGGTGCGCGTATTAGACTTTTCATACTCTATGGGTTTCTCAATCGTTGGCCATGCAATGTTCAGCTACTGTTACGAACGATATTTTCACTCGCGAAGATCAAGAATTCCTGATCAGAAACAAAGCTCTCCCTGAATCTCGCATCCTTGCTATCGAGACTGGAGGATGTCCCCATGCTGCTATTCGTGAAGACATCAGCGCGAATATGGGTGCTCTTGAAACCCTGCAAGCCAAGTTTGAATGTCAGCTATTGTTCGTGGAGAGTGGTGGCGACAACCTCGCGGCGAACTATTCCAGAGAGCTGGCAGACTATATCATCTACGTGATTGATGTCTCGGTATGATCTTCGTCAGTCTCTCCGTTCGATATGTTGACGAAGAGTATCAGGGAGGTGACAAGATCCCTCGCAAAGGAGGACCTGGAATTACACACTCTGATCTCCTCGTCATAAACAAAGTGAGAGAGGTTACAGAAGTCTACCTGTATGGCTACTTATGCTTGCGTAGACCGATCTTGCTCCTTACGTCGGCGCGTCTCTCGAGGTCATGGAACGGGACGCAAAGCTTATGCGAGGAGATGGGCCCACTCTATTTACCTCAGTCAGAAAAGGAGAAGGTGTTGATGATATTGTGTCGCTGATTCTAGCAGCGTGGAGGACAGCAGGTAGTCCTGGTAAGCCGGGAGCAGTAGGAGAGTAGGCAGTTTTTGATCAAAGTGTAGATCACTGGTACAGATAAGATAAGATTAGCGGCTCTTGACTCGGAAATTCGCACAATGTCTGAACCTTTGACTGCTCATGCACAGACCTTTTACTCGAATATCTAAACGGAATGTCGTAGGCTTCCATTCGTCTGTCTCTACACGTTCTAGCAGTCAGCTTCTTCTCCATAAACCCAAGCCTCAGGCAACGGTCTTCAAATATAAGGAGCCTGCCGAACAAAAGGGGGGAACGAAGAGAAAAGAAAAGGAAACTTCGAGATATGGTGCGTCTACACATGAGATTCTTCTTGGGTATCATAGATTGATGTTCTTTCAGCAAAACGGAATCCTTTAGGAGTACAGCTACTGTCCAACTCCATTCACCAACAAATTTTCAAGAATTGCTCTTTCCCAGCTCCCCCAAAAGAATTTGTGAACATTTCACTCGAGCACTTGTCGCTTCATGGTCTAGATCCAGCGCAATCCTCTGTTCACCCACCGACAGAATTCACGTTACCTCCTCTCCAGGGAGACAACCTTCTCCAGCATTTTCACCGAATCGGCTTTGCCTCATCTGAACCCTACCTGACCCTCGCAAAACAGTTTGCAGATTCTGAAATACCACCTATACCCGAAAACTGGGAACTTCAGGCAGGATGGACGAAATACTATCACAGTAATGACGGGTCCGACTACTCAGAACACGTCCCATATCCCATACATGACGGCCAGCCAGAGCAAATTCTCACATTTGACGTCGAGACGATGCCTAATTATCATAGCTATCCCATCATTGCTTGCGCTGCAAGTGCAAACGCGTGGTATGTCTGGCTTTCGCCGTGGATATTGGACCCGACGTCCAGTTCCAGTTCCGGGGCGCATCTTATACCGATGGGACCACCAGACGTGCCGCGTATCATCGTAGGGCATAATGTTTGCTATGATCGCGCGAGGATACTGGAGGAGTACCATCTGGGCGGGACGAAGAATCGTTTCCTCGATACAATGTCTCTTCACGTCGCGATCAAGGGCATTTCGTCTCACCAGCGTCCTGCGTGGATGAAGTATAGGAAAAACAAGGAAGACGAGGTTGCCCGACGAGACGAAGCACTTGAAGCGATCATCAGTCTTAAGGAACAGGTGGACGAGCAGGTTGAGGCCTTGCAGGAGACGAGGGAAGGCCTGGCAGTGGAGGAGTCAAAGATACAGAAGTTGCTGGATTTGCAGAGGAATCTGGAGGTGTCTTTACCTGCTATGCAAGCTTCGCAAGCGGAGTCCATAGCGTCTGCCGGCGAGGAGGAAATATCGACGCAAGCGCTCCCTGCCTCCCTTGACGAAGACGCGTCGTTGGACGCACCTCCCAAGCGGTGGGAAGATATGACTTCCGCCAATTCTCTCGTCGACGTGGCTAAACTTCATTGCGACATCGATATTTCGAAGGAAATTCGTGATGATTTGATGAAGCTCACGAGAGAGGAAATATCCGCCAATATCGACGACTATATCACTTACTGCGCGGGCGATGTCGACGTTACTCACCGCGTATACAGGAAGGTGTTTCCTGGATTCAGGGAGACCTGTCCGCATCCAGTTAGCTTCGCCGGCATCCTCACCATGGGTAGTGGATTTTTACCTGTTAATGAGGAATGGGAGGCTTATCTTGAGAGGGCAGAGGGGGTATGGAGGGAGTTGGAAAAGCGAGTCAGGGATGGTCTAGAAGGACTTGCTAGGTCGGCAATGGAGGCATATCCTGTCGCGCCGCCCGCAGAAGGTCAACAACCTTCTGGTGAATGGAAACAGGATGTATGGTTGAATCAGTTGGATTGGACGCCGAAGGTCGCGGGAAAGAGTAGGGGAGTGGCCCCTCTAGAGGTGTGTTATCAATGCAGATCTCATATGCTGAACGTTACTGAAGTACGCTCTCAGATTGAAGTTCCACAGACTGAACCCGAACAATCCCTTCCTGCGTGGTATGCGACCGTAAAATCTGATCCTCTCTCCAAGAAATGTGTCGACCGTATTCTCCCTCTCTTGCTACAACTATCCTTTGAATCACACCCCATGAAATTCACTACTCAAGACAAGTGGCACCACAGTCCATCCGGGGCACAAGGCGAAATTGCTCGCTTACCAACATCCAGAAAGGGCCAGAAGATTGGATCGCTCTTGTCTCGTCTTCACGGTGCTCCCTTACTCTCAGACGGGACCATGACTTCTCCACACACTGATTTGGCTTTGAAGCTTAGTCGTGGCGAGGCAGAGCAGGGCACCATAGACGATGTGTTAAAGTTGGCCGAGGAAGTGCGTGCCACTGCTCCCGCAGACAGGGATCAAGATCCCTGGTTCAGTCAGCTCGATTGGACTGAAGTTCAACTCGACTCGGACGGGAAAACAAAACCG